AGGCGAGAGTAGAGAGATCGGCAACTTTCAGGAACGATGCGACCACATTGCAAAGTGTGGTTGGATACAGTCAGCGGGCCGGTCAAAATCTCGTCGCGGCCCGGCCCGCGGGCCGTATGTTGCCCACCCCTGACCTAGACCAGTGATTCTCAAAATAGGCTTTGAGAACCGCATGCGGCTCTCAACAACCCTTCCTGCAGCTCTAGTCAATGCTTTAAAAATTAATTACCTTCAAAGAAAATTTTTCATTGAAAAATAATCATTGACTTAAAATTAAAATGTTCAAGTCTATTAGTTAGTCGAATGGATTCCCCCATGTTTATTTGCGTAGCGTTGACTAATCTACAAGATGCAATAGTGACACAACAGTAAGCGTTTTCGCAGCCACTTTTCACTTGGAAGAAAATAGACATGGCTGTAATCACTGACTCGCTTTCGTGGATTTTTTAGTTTTTGTCGCATTTCCGAATATTATATATAAATCAAATAACTCAATAACTAAATCAAATAACTCAATAACTAAATCAAATAACTCAACTTCCTGGAGAGTTTTAATTTGGTTTGAGTAATCGAAAATAGTCCCGAAATATCTGCCGATCAACTGGCGATCATCTCTACCAGCTACTGCACCTTGCATCCTCTACGATTACGACCCGCTTTGACAAACTTATTAGGTGGGGTGGGCAAAAATCAAATATTTTTTAGAATTGAATAGTTTAAATATTTTTAACGGATACCGAATGATCGAATAATGAATGTTTTTTGTACACAACAGGGATCCAGAACGTCGGAGGTCGATACTCCCTTTGGAAATTAATAGAAACATTGAAAAGTCGGCAATAAAGCGTTATTTTAATGGGTAATTTCATCATAATCGCTGATTGTCTTTGTCACCACGATGGATTCCGCGGCGATATCCTAAAGTTGGTTTTCTATATTCCCGCCCTTTCTCGTTTTTTGCAAGTATGAGAGGTAGCCGGATATCGAGTTTTTTTTTCTTTTTCTAGTATACCCGTGTGTCCACATTAGCAACAGTTGTTGAAGACATTAATGCAGTGTTTTTCAAACTGTGTGCCGTGAGAGATTCTCAGGTGTGCCGCTGAGCTTTTTGGAATTTTAGACATTGAGCCATTTGTATTACACATAGTCATGCAGACAACGGACAGCTTGTGAGAATTGTTCGGCCCGCATTATCCATTTAGATAATTTGTATTGCATTTGCCTTGTTGATGTAGTGAGAGGGATCGTCACGTTAAAATTGTATTGAATTGTTATTCTACAATGTATTTGTGGACTTCCACCTTCCACAATGTTGACTTGCGCGCTTAGTTAGGCTAGTTTTGGCTATCTACTTACAAATCCTATTTATTTATCAGTGTAAGGGCCATCAAAATAATCGTGCTATTTGAATTTTCATGGCTTTGTGAACACGGATTTTCTGCTAAGAGTGAAATTTAAAGCAAAAAAAAGGAGCGACTTCTTGTAATTGACAACGGAATGTGGTTGCGGATGGCAGCGACGAAATTTTGTTTCAAATCTTAATTTTTCTCAAAACAGGCACACGCATTGTATTAACATTTGCAGAATGAATTTGTTTAAAGCAATTTATATTTTTTTTCATTTGCTGAGTGTGCTGCAAGCAAAAAAAGTTTGAAAATCACTGCATTAATTTAGGACTGATTTCAAAACCGAATGAATTTTATTCCGAGTTTTATCCCTTGCCTTGGCTTTGATCTTACTTATCATCGCTTGTAACCCTGCCTGTTTAAAGGGAACCGTGACCGAGATGCAGATATTTATTAAAACGATACTTGAGTTTCTCGTGCTTTTCTATGGTGTTCGTGCTATTTTAGTATTAGATAGATAAACCTCACAAATCTGCGATGCGTGAATCCTGAATGTTGATTTGAAATAGCGATTAAATAAATTGGAAATAAAGGCATTTCTAAGCCGTCGGGCCTAATAGAGGATCAGACGATAATTATACCTACGGTAATTCCTTCAAGCTTTTGGAAAAACTTTTACTGGTCATTTTTAAATCGATGCTATTTATATAACTCGTATTTTCTGATGACCTAAAATCGCCTTTTTCACAATGAAACGCCGAAAAGTCATTTTTATCAATTTTATGTTCGAGTCATGCAAGAAATGGCTAATGACATGGAGTTTAAAATCTGGGAAATTTATTTTATATACCTAATCTGGTTTGACGTTTCTAAATTTATGGAACGGTCGGTATGTTGTTTGCAAAATATAGAATTGAAACGATACGTTAAGTGCAAAGTAAAGCATCTAACCCAAAGACAACGACTTTTCAAATTTGTCGCTTTTTTCTGGTAGCTGGCGCCGTGGGGAAATCTCGCACAATTCACGTTTGAGTTGGAGACGCGCGAGTTCGGTGTCCAAGCGAAGCGGCGCAGGTCCGGTGGTACCGGATAATCAAAGAGTAAAATCTCATTCGAATATTTTATTATACGATTCGTCATTCGAATATTTTGCCCAGCCCTAGTTGTTACGTGTGTTGTTGTTACGATGATTTGGTATTTCAAATACGTGCTTAAGTTATGTTGCTATTTTAACTTGCGTTGTTTGTGTGCGGCTCTTCCCAACTTTGAGGTTTAACATTTGGCCCTGGGACTAAAAAAGTTTGAGAACCACTGACCTAGACACTTGCCTGGTTATATGTTACACGCAACTTTAAAAATGACCCTTTCCCAATCCACTATTTTAAAGCTGTTTTTAAGGATAATTTAATCTCTCATCTTGCAGAACACTCCAAGTTGTATTTAGAACGGAAAGTCGGACTTATAGTTTGACAAAATATGAAGTCAGTCAGTCAGTAGTTTATTTTATCACATACCAAAAGTACACAATGGACAAAAATAATTACAAAGCATACATGAACAAAAATACGTTTCGGTGTGAAGGGAGACGCGATAAACCAGTGAAGGTTATCAAGCAGCGTCACCCTGGAGTAAAGTGGGTGTTTATGCTTGAAAGCAAAGTATGAGTTCAAAAAAATATATATATATTATGTTGATGATAAATCTTGCTATGTACCTGATTTTTACCATTGCGAAATGCGAATAGGGTTGGCTATTTTAAATCGAATAGTAAATTTTTGGAATCGGTCCGGACGAAAATTTCCAAAGTGACTATAAACCAAACGGATTTTATAGTCACTTTGAATCGCCGCCTTCTTTTTTTTTTGTTCGCTAAAAACCTAGGTTGGTCATTTTTTTGTTGAAGCATATAAATATATTTGGACATTTTCCATCAATAAAATAAATACGTAGAAGCGGATTTCGCTCGTTGTATAGACAAGTATAGCAAACAATTATGATCGGAAATAATAAAAAAAATGGTTTGAAATGTATTTACATAAACTGGAGAAAGAAGCTTTTTCCGGGACTCCGAGAACATATAGTCCATTTTCGTTGTGAAGTGGATTAATGTTAGTGTTCATTATTAGTAGTTTCATTGCAGTAATGGGGGTTTCGAGAAATTTACTCATCGCCTTTCTTATATGATGTTGTTCCCGAACAACGTCACAGAACTTGATGATGACGTCATCATTCTCAGTATATATGCTATTGACATCGTAAATACTTCATTTCAATACAAAATAATTTTGAATGAAAGGGTTACGTTACTGCCTGAATTTGAATTAGAAAAACTGCGCAATAATGTTTCATACCAGAACTTCATAAATTCACATGAATGAGATGTGTAGAACAATAGTAATAGACTTCTCTTCAGTATAAGTTAGGATTTACACATATATTCATCCCGGGGAAAGGAAAGCCGATAAGATCGCATAATCATATGGCGAACCACGGCCCCTTGTTCGGTTACCAGTCTATGTCCAGTATTGAATTAGTTAGCCAGTTATTTGTTTTCAGATGCATAGATTTGATGGCTGTTACGCGAACCACCCTACGGCGGCGAGGAGTCCAGCAATTCCTTCGCACATAATTACCCCCTGCCTAGGGGATTCGAGCCCGCGCATGGGAATCAGAGGTGCGGATGGGGAGCGTATTCCTAACGCTCAGCATGATGCGCCACAATGCCGAAAAGCTCAAAAAATAGATGGGTAATGACTAATGAGGGACTCGAACAAGTTTGTGAAGCGTTGTAGGACAGGGGTCGGCAACTTTTTGTCGCCCGTGGGTAAAATCTTGGCAGGCCGGACATATTTTTAGAAATTTAAAAACCGAACGGATGGCCAGTGAATCACAATGTTTCCACGCTGATCAGACGTTGAAATTTTAAACAGCGCGCGAAGATTGTGACAACTCGTGAACTCAACTCAGTCGTCTTACTGAAAGCTAACAATTTACAAATGGCAGTGATACACCTCTCGATTAGAAAATATATATATATATATATATGGATTTTATTTTCTCATTGCATTGCATCTCAAGAAGCTCTATTCAAATATTTGCTGCGCCATTAAACCCTCTGCAATCAGCATCAACTTTTCTGCGTGTTGCCATTTGTCTAATTATAATTAAATTGTAGGCTCGTTAAACCAGTAGCTGTTGACGCTAAATTGTTAGGTTATAGAATAATCTACACGTCTCACAATAAATTGTGTCCAAAAAAAATATGATCAACTCCTCGAGCGTGAAATATAAAATTAATTCATTATCAAAATAGCCTTTTTGTCGATTTAATTCAATGAAGCATTGCGGGCGGGATTATTATACCGTAGGTTGCCGACCCATGTTGTAGGACGTCCAGTGACTTCAAACAAATTTTTACTTCGCCGAGAACTCGTTCATAAAATTATCTCATGTTATAGCGCACGCGTTTTCAAAACAAAACTTCAAAACTATCACTACATTTGACCAGGAATGTTATTTAACAGTCAAAATAATTGGGACTGTTAAAGGTCAGTCAACCGATTGACCAGTCGGTCATTCTTAGCCCTATATAGATATATTTTCAACATCTCCATAATATATTTCCAATATGTTTTACATTTATTGTCCTTGCAAAAGTTCATTGAACAATAGTTTTTTTATAGAATTGAAAATGGAAATATATATAAATATTGTCAATATTCAGAAATGTCTTATTGTCTTGGCACATGAGCAGTAAAAATATCCCCATCATATCGGCTCATAGTCTAGAAATTTTGTCACCACTTGGAATGCAGCAGGTGGAATATCAGCAGGAACCATGTGCCCTGCACCCTGTGAATTAAAAAGAGTTATTAATTATATATCGATCACGACATTTTGCAAACACAGTAGTAACGTGACCGGTTCGTGAACGAAAACGTCAAATTTGCTAGCAAGTGAATCGATCAATTTAAATCTTAATATAGTTTACCTACAGTTTTGTTGATTCGCCAGATAGTTAGCTGACAGGGCCCATGACATTTTAGGAAACGGTTCTGGCTGCCTATCAAATACTACCACTAGGTAAACCAGTATTTATACAGAAAATACATTAAAGCTTGTGTATCAATATTACTTTTACGGTTAGAAATGTGAGCTTATGAAATTCTTTAACAAATCCGCCAATTTGCTCCGTTCCACTTTTTTCCAGATTCCAAGTTCTTCTCTCCATTGTAATCTGTGTTGTAAAATTAAAATATTTTAATTCGTGACAACACGCGAACAACACCTAAACTGAGGAGAGAATCAACCATCAAAATTGAATGAAACATATTTTCACTTTTCTCCTTACCAAATCATTATACATACTTTCTGTAATGATGTTTACAATTAGCCTAATCATAAAGCCAATGTTCATGTTATGAGGATTGACTGGGTCGCTGCGTCTACCTTATATCCGAGATCATCTACGAACTTTTCTCCTCCCATATGATTGCATGCCATGTCAACATCTCCGAAATACAGCAGCACTCTAATGTCATCCTGTACATGTAACATTAAAAATTCAGAAAGGCTGTTACACAATTTATGGGCCACGCCGTCTAGTACTCTGCCGATCGGCAGAGATTTAAGCATAATATATATACATAACTTGCAATTTTGTACAAAATGTCATACGATAAAAGTTATATCGTAAACACAAATTGTTATATTGTTTTGTAGCAAATTAGAGCAGAAGTTTATTTTCATTATCATCTTCTGTTCTGTCGTTTACATTCCTGACTGCATTCTATGATCTATATTTCATTTTCAACTAACAAACAGCAAATAATAAGTATGCTACAAGCAGTGCCGAGTTCACCATTAGCCAAGGTAGGCTGAAGTCTAGAGGACTCTAGCCTCACCCCCCATTTTTCTAAATTTGAAAAACTACCACTTAATCTTAACAGTATATAGTAAATTAAATAGACAGTTTTCTGTCCTAATGCCCAATTTTTTTAAAAAAGGTGATAAAATATCGAGATGTAGCTATATATACTTACTTATTCAAGCAAAAACGAATATAATAATTATTACATTTGTTTTACAATTCTCGATATTTTTCTGACCCGTTTACTACAAAAATGATGATTTTTTATCAGTTATTACTTATCGATCTTAAGAACGGTAAGTATGTTGATTGGTATTTGTCTGTCTGTCTGTTTGTTTGTTTGTCTGTTAGATGAACGCGATATCTCACGAAGGCGAGGTTGAATCTGCTCCAAATTTAGCATGTGCGTTCATCATATCTCGGCCAGAGGATTGACTGTTGATTTTGGATGAATCATGTCGTAGAAGTAGCGAGTTATTGAATAATTAGTGATGGGACACGCGGTGTGTCACTATAGAGTCATGAATCGAAACCGCAGTTTCGATCGATAAGTCTCCGGTCTCCGACCGATATTCTCATTTTTTATTTATTAGCAATTGGGGCCACACACACCGTCCTATTACAGCGTCGAGTTTCAGGTGTTTTTGAATTCAACTTACACCATCGAATCTATTTGGGTTATTCAAAAGCCTATGATGGCATCATAATGCATTCAATTTACTTTGTGACGTCATTGCGAAAGAGAGACCGCAAAATGAAACAGCCGAGGGGCCTCTTATCCTCTACATCCGGCCCAGGTTGCAAGCGTGTATCACAATAGACCAGCGTTTCCCAACCTTTTTTGGTCGCGGACTATTTTCTCACCGGCGAAAACCTTTGCGGACTCAATGTGCGTTTATTGCAAAAGCACTCTGTGTGAAGAAGCAATAAAACCAAACACTACCGAATTTTATTGAATCAAAATCGGAAGTTGGCCGCAATTACGCGTTCGTAAAAAGAACCGACTTTTTTAGTGTATAATGAATGGCCTTTTCTGTCGCCCAATATTTAATCGATGACAACAACGAGAATTTGAAATGTCTCTCTATTTTAATTTAGTTGTGTTCATGGGAACTTGCCGTTGCGTCGACTTACAAGATGAAAGCATTACTTCTTTAAAATGCCACAGCAATCTACGAATATATCAATTTGAGAATACATTGCGCGATTATATTTAGTTTTTATACATATTTTTTGCGATCTTGTAAATTTGTTACCGCCTGCTAACTGCTATAAATTTCCAGAAAGAACAACTTGATTTAGTACTTATATATTAAAAATATATGTATATTAGTAAATCAAAAATACACATTCATCGCCTTGCTTTATTATTAATTTAATTGTGATCTGCGTCGCATTTTAATCTTCGGTTGTGTTGACGAAATGAATGCAATACTACTCGGAAAATATCATGACAATCAGTGGACACAAAAATGTGTGGTAAAGTGCCCGATTATTTTGTTTTGATTCGTATTTTTGTGAATTCAACAAATCTGAGATGTCCGTACAGCAGTTACTGCGCTCCAGTACTTTACGTACTGATGTGGAGGCCATGAAACAAAGAATCCTAAGGAAAAACGCCCTGGTACCAATGACATTAAACATGTCGTTGCTGGTCCGTATACTACGAAAGCACCCGAAATTTTGCGATTTGCAATGTCAAAAAAGTGTTTTTAATCGGTCGCGGATCATCAAAAAAAAACTTATGGTGTTACAATCGTTTGTTTAAGCGACGCACAAGTGACCTGTCGCGTCACCTGTCACCAAATTTTCGAATAGTAAATTGCTATTCTAATAGTTGAATATTGGAATATATGCCCAGCCCTACTCAGTAACCAGCAATTATTGACTCGATTAATGTTACGTGAATAAACTTTCTTTGTTTTATGTAAATTCCAACGTAAATCGTAACTTGGTTGATAGTTAAGTTTCGCAAAAACGTTTGCGGCCCGCAGTGAATTTCTGGCTCGTTGCGGACTCATTCAAACGCTCCGCGGACTCATTTGAGACCGCGGACTCGGGTTGGGAAACACTGCAATAGACGGAATATGGAATAAGTAGCATTTCATAAAAATAATAGGCTTACTTTTATTCCAGATTAGGCTTCGCATAGCTGACTACTTCTCAAAATATTTGCTTTCCGACCGACCCCAGAGAAGTTAGAAATAGGAATGGACATGTCTCGTTTAGATTTGGCTTTGTATATTCGCTTTATAAGTTTAAGGAAGATAATATATATTTGGACATATTTTCAGATTTTTAGATATCGATGTTTGCTCCCAAACATTATGTCTCACAACAATAATTTTTTTATAACTACCTAAAAATGCACATGTGTTTTATTATGTTCTTACCATTTCTTCAAGAATTGTTTTGATGAAAGGTGAAACGTCTTTGTATATCTTCTTATATTCTCTGTTGACATGATCACTGAGTAAAAATATAGGATTTAGTGAAATCTAAAAGACATCTTCTCACGCAACACAGCTAACTTTTCAAACTTCGTCGAAATATAATCAACAGTTTCAACTAATCTACTATATTTAAAATTTATTGGACACTGAGCGGCGAACATCCCATTCTGTATTATTCAACTCAAACTATTTAACTTGTCCTATTATGGTATACGTACACTGGTGTTATATTGGGCCCAAGTATAGTATAGTTAAATTATTCTGTAAATGATAACTCGTAATGTGTTAATTCCGTAACTCGTAATGTGTAAAATTGTTAATTCCAAATATAGAGCTCTTGGATTCTCCGAAACATATACAAATTTAACTTGTTTTATAAATCAGAGATGAGAAATCAGGTAATTTTCTCCTCTGATACCAATAATTGCACAAGTACTGTCACCTAGTTTTATTCTCTCGGTTAGTAATACGAACAGTTTTCAATATATTCTGCAATCCTAGATAAAATAAACTATCATGAACAAACCTGCAGATTTGCCATGTTGTTTGTTTAACATGTATAGCTTGTTGGACATCGTTTCTGTTCAGATATTTTGTTATGAGAGATGCGTTGGAGCACGGAGGGACGAGAGTAAGACGTTTTGAATCTAAATCTAGACCCATCTATAAAAAAAAAATTACAAATAAGTTTAACAAATTAGTTGTATAGATTAGATGAATAATAACTTATAAGTGTTGCCGAAAAGGCACACAACAGGTTCAGATTGGGCATTTGGCCGCATACATTACAGGAAGATTGAGGAACGAATTTTCCATTTTTTTTATTTGAATACGAAATCTAAAAACAATTGTTGGTATTCTAACTTGCAAATGTTTAATGCTCACCTTCATATAAAAAAGATTTTTGTAATAGTCTCTGAAATATCTCATACGATTCATCTGTGACGGAGTTGCACAGTCTCCATACAGATTATAAACATTCAAACCGTTGTTGGTAACGAGTTGCATCACTTTCATCACCTACGATCAAAAATTAATATTGTAACTAAATATGCTGTAATAGGATCACCACGATTTCATTAAATTCGTTAGTTTTCCCATCTAGAAACGATTTATTTATTTCGTTAGGAGTTTCGTTGGAGTCGTTGAGTCAAAGTTACAAAACCATTATAAAACTTTAATTAGTTGATTACAGAGTACAAGAAAAGTAAATGGTAATTTGAGTCGTATTTTTTTACACGTATTTTAACATAAGCCTAGTCTATGCACATTTAATGTCACAGAAACACTACCAGTTATATGTGAACTGCAACCTCTCTTATACACTTTCAACATTGTTCTGATTAGAATAAAACGATAACAAGACAGCGATGCTTAAATGTATGAACACGAAAGCCAAAACGAGGTAGTACGGGTATGCAACCTGTCACAGTAGACAACAGATCCGCACTCTTTACTACTTCGCCTGACGAACAGATCGCGATCCGATAGAGCCCACAGAAATTTTAAAATAAAGAAAAGTACTAGCCTTCTAACGAAAAATACAATCTTCAATCACTGATTACTTCAGAGCAATTGATCCAGTAGTAGCAATTTTTCTTATAACAACAAGAAAAAGAATTCTATCAACAACAACAACATAATAACAAAACGATCCATATGTACATTTCGTGTCCGAAAATAATATTCTGACAACACAAACCTCGAATATACAATGCTCTTCGGAAAATCGGAAGAAAGTGCATCGATCTGGTCTGCCATCATCACAGCAATTTTCCATCAATTCATCCCAGAGTGATTTTCCAAACAGCCCGTGATAGTATGCGTAAAACACAAGCGATTCATCATTTACCCGTTGGTTTAGTAATCCATTGCCAATTACAAGACCCTAAATGGTAGCCGAGTATCAACATGTGTGCAATCTTTCCCAAAAATTATTTATCGAAATCTTCGCGATGAATCCTTGTCATGATAAGCCCGAAAAGGCCTATTCGCATGCAATTAATTAGTCAACTAGAATAAAGATCACTATTCCTCGAAGAAAACAGCGAAATACTGTTTATTCTATATGAAAAATTACTCTCAACATTGTCGGAGAAATTAAACAAAATCGATTATGAAGTCTTTTGATAGAAATTATTACCGATTTTAGTACACAACATAACTACCTTGATTTTGTCTATAAGAGGTGAACCAATATTTAGCATTGTCGCAACAAGGGTCGGGATGTAAACACCGGCATAACTCTCCCCGGTAATGTAAATATCACAATGTCTCAACGAATTAAACTTTTCAAAGAAGTTCATGATCGCTTTTTCTACATCTTCTGCAAACTAAAGAAAATAATTATTTTTGTTTAATATGGGATAGCCTCTTAAGACTCTACGCACTGATAACAACGACTTTTCCAAATACAGAAAATAGCCCAAAATTGTCAAAATGCTCATAAATATCCCGGCAATCACACCTCATTTGCTGAATTCAACCAGCTGTCAAGGTCATCTCGTAAATCTGATTGCCAGATTTTTGATACTATTCACACTAATTCATCATTTGCAATTGTCAATATATGTCTTGCAACAAAACTAAGTATTGAAAAGTGATTGATTCTCATACTAATAGTTATTTCACCGTGTCATCTGTGATGGGATCATTTGGTGAGCCGTATGAAAACCCGACACCAACCGGTGCTTCAATATATAGCGTGTGCGCTAATTTGTTCCATGAGTAATTATTTTTCTCCAATTGTCCACTATCTCGGTCGAACTGAAAAATATCAATAATACCAATTTGTGTCATGTCAAGCAGCCTCATGTTTAAGTAAAACATATCATCTAAGTACGACAGAAACCACAACTATTTGTGTGTCCTCCTTGTTTCGCTTCAACTCAATTTGGAAGTTGTCACAACAATTATCATTATTATCACAATTATCATTATCGCATTATTATTTTCATGAATATCTTTTTAAACAAACGAGAAAAATAAAAACTTTTGCAGAAGAAATCTTTTATCCTGTGCCAGACGAATCTAAGTTTCACTTGGCCCGGAACCTTTGTGATTTAAAAAAACATGCTGAGGGACGCGTTTTACTGAAAAAATGCATTGTAATATCGTTCTATTTGTCTTTTTTCCCGAATCATTAACTTGTTGTGTTAAGAGTTTTAGTTAATACTCATTCGTAATACATCTTAGATATGCTGCATGCATTATCATTTGGGCTTATTGCGTTTAACAATTGAATTATAAAATGTAGTAGGTAACTGGCATGGAAGCTCTAGATTGACAGCTCTTCTAGCGATGGCATAAATCAATATGTTATTTATAATGCATATAAATACATATATATATTATTTAATAAATAGTTACCTTAAAGGGACCATGTTCAGCAAACAAGCCATCCATTGAACTACAACCCGGTCCTCCGTTAAACCAAATAATCAAATTGTCACATGTTCCACTTTCACATATATTCAACCTAGAAAAAGACATATCTTTACCAAAAATTGTAACTGTTAAGTAATTCATTATTTTCCTCATAAAATAAACAAACCAATAATGAAGTTTCTTGTCTTTATTAACATCAAGATATCCAGAATACATAGGAAAATCGGGAAGAGTTGGAACGCCGGGCAGACTTTTGATTCGATCGGCTTCAACAGATTCCGCTACATTTTCTGCAAATCGCAGTAATGCGAGGATGGCTAATAACGATAACGTACGAAATAGATGTCGACACATAGTGACTTGGTATCAAAACATTCAATATAGAAAGTAAAGGTTTATTTAAAATTTACTAAAATTAAATCAAAACGTGAGGTTGTTTTCTCATTCATGGTTAAATTCTTTATCCCCTACTGGCCTACATCTTACATGAACCATCGCCGTAATGATCTTCACAATTTCTAGTTAACAAAAACAAATGAAACAATACAAATATAAAAGCTTATCCCTTTCCGACTATAAAAATCTCGTATTGCGAACCTCCGAATCACTGAGTAATGCTACAATGCATACTTCAATTTGCTATCATACTTTTAACTAGAACGATTTTCCGATACATTAAAAATATTTATCGTGGCGTAGGAATTCCTTGAGGGCTTTTATTCCGAAAACGTGAAGGATTAAACTTTTTGACCTGGAAATAGCGGATGTCATTGAAATGCAATCGGCAGCAAAACGACAAACAATCGGAACGTTCAGTACAAAAATAGTTCACAAAGCGAATTGAATTCACTGAAATTATTTCGTTGACAGCTTTAGTTCTTAAGCCATTTTAATCAAAAAAGCCTTTCTGGATAGAAAGTGAACCTCAGATCCTTTCCAGCGTGATACGTGAACATGGTCGATGTCGCTAGAAGGCTATCCTTATTATTTTTGCTCGTGGTCCTATGGGACCTGATTATCATCTCATAATTATACAGATAAAGATAAATGATACAGATAAAGATCAACGCGTAGTACTCAAAAACAAACCTTTATGTTAACGCCACCAATTTTAATCAAAGCACCAAGGATGTTTTGAGTAAGTATTTTTTCAAATTCCCAATGATGATGTACAAATGTAAGAAAGAATGACAGCTCAAGTCGCGAATAATCTTGCTCCCGGACCAAGGATGTTTTGAGTAAGTATTTTTTCAAATTCCCAATGATGATGTACAAATGTAAGAAAAAATGACAGCTCAAGTCGCGAATAATCTTGCTCCCGGACCGTCGTCTTTTGTTGTGTATTAAGTTTCGGAAGAAATGGTTAAAAACGAAGTTTTTCATCTGACATAAAGTTTCACGTCATTCAGTAATGTTACATAGTCAGAGTCCTAAGCTTTAACATCAACGGAATTTTGCATTTATAAGTTTTACTTATTGAGAAATATATACGAGATGCATTATTAGTTATTACACTTTTTATAAAATTCACCAATAGGATAAATGCAGGTTGTTATCAAGTACAGTTGTATCGAATATCTAAATTATGAAATATATAATTACAGATAAAAATGACTTTTTATCACATGAAAAAGTTATTAGAATGATACACACCGTGATTGATTAATATAATAAATACCATCCGATCTGGCTTTCGATATGTGAATCATATTCCTGCAAGCGCAAGAATATAACAAAATTTAGTCCATGACACCGGTCCCCTTCTCTTTATAGCAAAATCAAGTGATATACTGTGTTTCTCGAAAATAAGACAGGGTCTTATTTCAATTTTCTGTCGAAAAATAGGACGAGGGCTTATTTTGGGGTATGGCAGTTTCATTATATAAATTCATAAAATAGTATAAGGGATACCCATCATAATCCAGTAAATCTGACTAAAACACATAATTATCCCCCACGGGATTCGAATCCGCGAATCCACGCAGAATAATCAGAGGTGCGGTGGCGAGCGTATTCCAAATGGTTAGTTAGCACAATGCGCCTTTGGTACTACTTCGCTTTTCCTTTCGTGTCCATATATTTGGGCATTGCTCTCTTGTTTCCGTAACAATGACCAATCAGCACAAGTAAATGATGACGTAACAAATAAAATTTGTGCAGCCGCTCAGACACTTTGCACGCAGCTTTCAATAATATTACCGAAACAGTTGCGATAGACTATGGGCTAAAATCAGCCATCAGCGGGGCTGGTAACGGTTAATCGATTTTAGATGGTTAACGGTATGACCGTCAACTCAGTCACAAATCACCTTCATTCTGTACAATTTTTTCAAAACTAATCAGCTCATCGCAAATTTATCCTGTGGCGTTTAATTCCAATGAATACCAGTATCCCTAACTGTATTATTAGACACCAGAAAAAAGTTTGAAAAAAATAACTGAAGTACTAGTATTGTCGATTGTAAAAATTTGACAAATATAGGTTCAGAATTAGTTCCGGTCAGAATACGAGGTGTGGCTAAAATGAAACGGGATTGTCGTCACAGATTGCGCAACATGATTTACCACCGGTAATCAGCACTTTTACAGTGTGGCGTAATATGTGTTCTTTGTTTAACAGCTGTTTTGACACAACATCGCAATTATTTTTGCTTTTTAGGAGCCATAGGTGAATGTGATTAATTGCTTGTTGAAAAAAAATGCTTTGCGAGATCTGATTGAGTTTTTTGGCGATAGGGGGTTCAATTGCAGAATGACGATTGAGCGAAGAATTAACATTAAATTTTGTGTCAAACTCGGAAAAAACGGCGAATGAGACTTTGAAGATGTTGCGTGATGTTTATGAAGATTTTCCATGTCCAGAACAAGAGTTTTTAAATGGCACAAGCAATTTGTGGGAGGCAGGGAAGATGTTGAGAATGATCCAAAGTCAGGGAGGCCCTGCACTTCCACAACTGATACCAACACCAAAAAGGTTCGGCAGTTGGTTCGCAGTGACCGTCGCTTAACAATTCGCGTCATTGCCAAATAAGTTGGGATGGACAAAGAAACGGTCCGCACTATTTTGGTTGACACTTTGGGAATGCGAAAGGTGTGTGCCAAAATGATGCCAAAGGCTCTTGAGTTGACTGAGGAGCAGAAAGCTCAACGATTGAATGCATGCCGAGTTGACATGCATTTTTCCAAGTTTGACACAAAATTTAATGTTAATTCTTTGCTCAATCGTCATTCTGCAATTAAACCCCCTATCGCCAAAAAACTCAATCAGACCTCGCACAGCATTTTTTTTCAACAAGAAATTTATCACATTCACTTATGGATCCTGAAAAGCAAAAATAATTGCGATATTGTGTCGAAACAGTCGTTAAACAAAGAACACATGTTACGCCACACTGCAAAAGTGTTGATTACTGATGGTTAATCGTGTTGCGCAATCTGTGACATCAGCCCCGTTTCATTTTAGCTGCACCTCGTATATTGTTCACGATTTCATTGCAGACTATTCAATGTCATTCAACAGGTGCGCATTCTGTCACAGGTATATATTATGTAGAGACGAACGCTTTGAATTAATAATATTTTCAGTCGTGTAGGTAGAATACACCCTCTCATGGTACACTCGTATCACATCGAACGGAACTGATGGAACTTGTAAATCCCGACCGCATTGATGCTGTTTTTCTTCATGGTATCTCAAAGTAGAAGTTGAACACCGGACAATAAAAAATTATAACATAATTGACATTTTATAACGGAATCAGTTATACCAAAATATTTCCATATGTGCGCAGCATATCTTTTGCAGTAGAGCGATCATGAAACTATCTCGATCCGTGAATAGTTTCCAGCGATACCAGGATAAGAGCACGCGGCATTTCTGTTGAGGAATTTAAGCCATTGGGACGTAACAAATTTCTGCGTCAAAAGATTTTCAATGGTAAATATGGCAAATTGGCGAGAGGATAAAACATATGGTTCCATTACATTTGAACCCATGACAATTGCACCTGTATGCTATTGCACTTATGGAATTTTTTGTGTTTCACGGATAGTTAAACCCATACTAACCCTAACCCATGGGTTTTAGCACCCGCATATAGATTGAACCCGTGGATATACGCATGGGTTCAAATGTACATGGGTCCAAATGTACGGTCACCAAAACTATACATCGACTGCCGAACTACTCCAACTTTTGTCCTCCCGGGAAGGTTTAGATAGATTCGGTTTCCAACAAAATTCTAGAAGATGTCAAGATAGACTGGGCTAAAATTAGAAATCAGTATTTTCAATTGACATGTAAACCACAATGGGTGGAAACAATCTTAGTCTACACCTCCGCATCGGAACCTTTCCAACCGTGAGCAATAGGAAACAGGCGGGGACATGGGAATCGTTTTTGACTGCTGAACAGCTTCCTTAGACCCGTTGCAATTTTATGTTTTTCTGCACATGGCCTGCATCCTTTTATATGGACCGTGATCATCAGTTCTCAGTTAAATGTACTTTTAATATTGTTCCACGTGTCAATGAAGCACGAGATACACCTCTATTGAAGAGTAGCACATCGTCGGAGAGAAAAAATAAAGAACATAGATGCACCATTGTATAAGCTTGGCGACAGGTACGGGAAGCATACCTGCGGTATTATATAGCCTGCAGGCCTTACGGACAGTTCAGTTTTGACGTTGACAGTTTGTATACTGGCATATCTTCACTAGAGCATAATCGTGCTGCCAAAAAACTGCACACTCCCACCATTTTATATAGTCTTCGTTTCGGCGATGTGACTAAAACTCACAACTGTACTCTTAAAAGGGAGAGCGGATTCACTACTCTACACTGAAATCAATATGCCAAAAAAGGAATTTCCCAATTCGCCGACAAATTCCCATTGTGACGTCATAACAACAACTGCACTCAGGGATAGTCGATGTAAAACTAATTTAATGTAAATGCGCAACTAATCACAGGTGGCAATACAAATTAAAATTGTTCAATAGTGATTGCCAGAACCAAAGCCTCGTCTCGCCTATATGGTTGGAATTTGAAATATTTGGATGGAAACGGACAAATTCAAGTAAAAAATGTATTAAAACCTCAAAGTCAAAAATCAAGAAACAAGTAGCTGCAGTAGTAAAAAATGTGGCAAGAAGAAAAAAAAACTATGTAAATGCAATATCTTTAACATCAAATCACTGAACATCAGTGCTGCAACAAGGTGCACTAAAAATACCATATCGTCCATGTACATCTTTTCCGCGTACAGCAAAATAATACTTCGAACCCGTAGAGAATTGGCTCAGTGTGCAGGCCATTGGTAGTGGCATTGCCTTTATGGAATCTGAGAATACAACCAAAATATCTTAATGATGATATCAATGAGCGAACTTCATGTGGTTACAAATATTGAAGATTCATAGTTGAATCTCATTTTCAACTTCTTTGGCAATTGAACTCAAATTCATTTTTGTTACCCTCTTATGAATTAATATTTGGCTGTTTGAAAAAACTTAACATCAAGCATATTTTTATCTTACATAACAATTTCCTAAATCTGATTTATTTGATATGAAGGTATATTTCTACAATGATGAGGAAACAAAAACGTCACCACTCAGTGACCAAGTGTTCACTATTAGCGCACTATTTTGCGATAACTGCAACTCACTTTAGCAGTTTTTTATAGACGGGGAAATTGCCATTTGTAAGCCAATTTTGCGTTACATACCGATATTTGCAGAAATTATAGGTCATGTGGTACAAACATGGGAGTTTAATCTATCTGACTTTGTACATTGATCATGATGTTTTATACAATCACTCCAATTCCACTTCTCCCGCAAAACGCTCGATGGCGCCGACCAGATGTTAGAATGCGCCGCCGCGTGTTTCTGTGATCGAGATTGGTCATGTGACCAAAGCGCACGATTTGCAAGTCCAAAAGTATCTGACTGAAAATACATGAATCAGGTCTTCGTTACCTCGCCATTCAGAAAGGTTTAGACACCAGACACGGCATAGTTCAGTGATGAAATGTAAATTTAGGCCATTACTAGAAACTTTTTAACAGCGTCTCACAGATTTGCAAAATACCCAAATTCACACAAAATACAACAAAGGGTTTTGTCGTATTAACAGCAATTTTATTGCAAACACAAACGTTCAACACACAGTGCATTCCCGAAATTTGGCGATACATAATTACTCATTCGCGATAAATCATAATCAGACCAGACTTCCACCTTGCAAAAATTAATCAAAAACAGCTATTTATCTTTGGTCTGATTTGCGATGGTATGATGTTAATATCGAAATTCACTCACCATTTCCTATTTTTTTCCAGCGATTACCACTGCTACTGTTTGGATTATGCTGGTAAACATATAATTCATAGCTATCCATCTTCGCACGAGAAACACCAGGATGGTCCCATGACAATTCTATACCATCTTTGCTCTAAAATTTAAACAGTAACGATTAGCAAATAACAAAGACTCTATTTAAAAAAAAAAATAATACATGCCTTATTTATTCTCAGCAATGGTTGATATGGTGGTGGAAAAGATAATTTTTGCAAATTTGCTGGCGGTAATGGCATTGGAGGTAGAGGTGGATAAGGAGTTCCATTCGTGCAATTTATCTAGAAGTAGAATAAATTTAAGTATTGTGTAAATTTTTACGTAATTAGTTAAAAAAAATAATCATGGCCATTAGATCCAATAGCATTCAATTGCAAAAAAACACTCAATTAACAAACCAGATTATATTCACTTTCTATACTCTCATCATAAAATTCATTTGTTTAATACGTACACATACTTGCAATTATGATCGCATAGCAGCTTTATTATAGATACGGTATATATTTTTTTTTAAATTTCTGCTAGAACCATTAAAGCACCAAAGAAACTTTCCACATTATTCATATGTGTATGGTTTTTCATTTGACCCAACTAAACAATCGTACAATTTTAGGCAACTAAAACCTACGATCTTAATATGAAAGTGCTGCTGCGCTAGCACACCAATTATTGATAGGGGACTGAAGAAAGCCAACCGCTGATAAGAGATTGTTGGAACAGAAGATATGTGCCAACGCAATAGCATAAATAAGGAATCAGAATCTGGTATATTCAAAACTAAAGTACAGGTATTACCAATTACAACAATGTCAAAGCGGGACTAAATGTGGGGATGGGAGATATAGAACAATTTACTGTTCTAGAAAACCTAAATCGAATCCTATCCGATTTTTATCGGTATTTAAATCAGTCGATTGGGTTATTACACAATTTCTCTTCCGTCGTCAGATCTCAGCTTGATAAGTACGGTGCTAATGGCCCGGCGACGTCATGACGCCGAGAAATCACACTTCTCGCTTTTTCGTTCAGATTCATCGCGCAAGATTCAGAAAACTAAAGATCGGCACGCCTGTTTTTTTTCTGTTCTGCATGCTTTACCTGCTTAATATGACCGTCCAAACAAAAATTATATATATTTCTTTGTTTAAACCAGAAAACGGTCAAGAACAGTATTATATTCCAGGGCTCCGCCTTGGCATTCAGTAACATACGAACTTGTTGCGACACTGCAAGTGGTCACGAGACGCGCTACAAGAGCCTTTGCCCAGAGATCTTTTCCCGGTGATGCACAGCAGAATTCTGAGCCTGGTGCCAAGTTACCGACGACTTTGTTATTATTATATGTTATTATCTTCCGATCCACTCACTTCATTTTTTTGCCTGTCCGCGAGTACATTTTATTTAATTATACCGGTCTGCCAGGGTAGAAAGGTTGGGAACCACCGATTCAAACAGTGGGAATTCCTACCAAATTGTTGGATTAATTAATTTGGGCAAAATTGTAAATATATTACTGCCTTTGTATTTAATTGCAATGTCCCGAGCATTGAATTTATTTGATACCAAACAGGCATTTCTCGGGACAATGAAATTTGTTTAAAATCCATGTGATCTCTAAATACCGATATGCTAAATTAGGACTCGCAATAGATACTTTTAATAGTAAACTGTAAGATACAAAAAATATATATGAAACAGCATTACGGTCAAGGATGTCCAATTCTAATATCGCGACCTTCGAATATCGTTTTTCGTTTTATAAGTTGTCTATTCGTGTTTATAAGAATACAGAATATCGCGCACACATCCTAGCGCCGCCGTCCACATTTTGATTGATAATATGTTAACTAGATAGTAAAATGGAAAACGCAAAAATTTTGCCTAACGAGCCTTCGCCGTGATGTGTCGCCGTCATCTTATTCTGAAGGGTGATGTCAGCCGCTTTTACGCACGGGTTTTTGGAGGCAAGTATAATCAAAAGAGAGCTTTCGATCCGAGAGAAAACCCTCGTCCTTGATTAATACGGTAAGTTGGAAATAAATTAACACTTGAAGTCGAGCAGGCGGAAACCGAATCCTGTTATCAGAGCTTTTTGAATTCGAATACTTTGAGATTCAAATTCGGTATTCTGAATAGTGATGAAACGAAACCACTTTTTTCGCCGATACAGATATTACAAAAAGGCCGATAGTACGTTACCGATACTATGTAAATATTACCTTAATTAAGTGTGCTGTCTAGGGCAGACAGGGTTAAATCAATGGTCCTTGAGCGTTATTCATAGTACACATTACTTCAGATTGAAAAAGAGATATATCACATGTGAAATTGATGTTTGGTACCCAGATGCATTAATGGACTCGGATACATTGTACACTGACGCTAGTAATCTCGGTGTCCAATTATAAAACCTTATGCCGGGATGACCAATTCCAATTCAATATTAATATCTCGATCTTCGAATATCGTTTTTCGTGTTTAAAAGAATATCGAATATGTGCAAATGTTTTATTTTGTGTTTAATCGTGATCGTAGCGGCAATAAATTACAGCCAAAATGAAAGGATATCAATCAGCGCCGACTAGAAATACCTATAATACTAAGCGGCCACCCCAATAAATCTATAAAGAAATTGTGTATTTAAACAAAATTAAAATTAATATAATCAAAATATTTAATACCTGTGTAGGAGAGATAATTGCGTCGGAATTTAGCTTAACGATGTCCATGGACTAAATGACACTCGCGCTTGACGATAAACAGTCAGAATTAATAACGGTGCCTAAAAGTTCATGTGCTGTAAAAAAGGACTCGGATTCCACAGTATGATTTGAAACTGGTCGCCTATTTGCTCTCTTTTCTGTGCCGTGTTAATTTATTTTAATATATGTATTAAAAATGTCAATTTTAAAATTTTGGCAGCGAAAACAGTCAAATTAGAAGAGCTAGTTCTGCTAGTAAATATTTAAAAACAGGTGAATCCTATTCCCGTTACAACTCGCAGGGGTGGAGACATGCATGGCTCATAATTTAACGATCTCTCCAGGCAAAAATAAATTAAAAAGTAACATTTTAACTTATCTTCTAAAACATTCTGGATCATATCAAAAAGGTAAATATATGGGAAATATCGGTATTAATTCAGCCGATACCGATACATGACCGATACCAAAAAATTATCCGATATTGCTGATACCGATACCCGATTCTGATACATCTCTAATTCTGAATAGCCCATCCCAAACTGATTGATTCTTTGATAAATTAATCCCTAAATCATCACTTTTATGCAGCGGAGTCATAAGAAATCATAAACAGAAGTAAAACAGCACATTTTTCAATTTAAAGTAACCTGTGGCTTCTAACTATGCACACTCTCAAAAATAGCCTGGGAGAGTTGGTCAAATTCCCTCATTAATTTTGGGGTAGGATTGAGAATGGTCCTGGAGTAGAATTTTAAATAACACAACATGAATGAAGCCTTAATCATTCAGAACACCAGAAGAACGAAAGGGCAGAAAAATTCAAAAAATAAAAATCGAACCCAATTTGAAATAGCAGAAATTACCTTACCAAGGGTTTTTACTTTTTTTGGTAGAAATTTATGATATCGTGAAACAATGTAAATACTCAATTCTTGAAATAGTCAATTTGAATGAAAAATAAACAACATACTGTAAGTGGTGATCGAATTCCATTTTTCTGCAGTAAGAATTGCTGTTGCTTGATTGAATTGATCTACAACAAATACTACAATGAATTCAGTCGATGTTAATAAATGACATAAACTAACAAAAGCGTGACTATACTTACAACGCTATCACTATTTAGAGCATTCCTTCCTATCTGTGATGGCATTGTGGTGACCTGGACAGTTGGGCTATCAAAATAAAAATAGCATGTTTAAAGAAATTGATACATAAATTCAACTTCGAGAGGTTCAAATTTATACCCACCGAACATTTGAATTTGCCGTAGATAATCCAACCGGTTGAGCAGGTGCAAGAGGTTTACTATCATTATTACTCATAAACAATTTTTTTGAGGTATGATGCACAAGAGTAGCTAGAAACAAAACAAATTAATAAGCGGTGTTACTCTCCCTGAACTATGAAATATAGAAGCAAATTCTACCTGAAGTTACATTTCCTGATATTCCACTGTTTAGGGTTGGTTTGACCTAATAAAAGAAAAACAAATAATAAGTACTATAGAAATAACGAATGGAAAGTAATTAGTAATTACCCAAACTTACCATGTTCTGTTTGACATTCGACGGTGTGACTGCAGCTTGTGAATTTGGTTTATTAATATGATTTGTGAAACTACTTGCTGCCTCATCTTCTGTGAGGTCAATAATAACAGAAGGTGAAGCTGACGTGTCAGATTTTGGCTGAAATTCTTGCTTCAGTTTTACAATGTAACTTTTCGAATATTTTCCACTCTCATCTGAACATCAAGTAATTATTTTCATTTTACATCATTGCCAGAAAAATAGGCTTTTGAATGAATATCACAAACCTTTCAGAACTGTGCTTTTAGACATGTTAGATTGACTTAGACCAGGAGAAACCTAAAAACGAATAAATATATAGAATATATCCCAAATATAGCTATGTAGCCTATGTAATTAGGTACTTTAGTGTGATTGTGTTACATGTCTGGATGTTTATGAGAGTACAAATATCATAAGTTCGATTGAATTGATCCTCAAAAACCACCAACGATCAGAAAATTTCAATTATTGAATAAAATGAGGAAACTGAAAAATTCAGATTCATAATATTCAATTTGCTCATGATGATAGTGCACCAAATCCCTAAATCTCAAAATAAATGCGGATTGAAAATGAAATAATATTAATCACAGATTCAACAAAACTTTGCTACTTCAGATAAAACAACTGACAAAGAGGTGCAAGTGTCCTACTTACATATATAATCACTGAACAATTTTCTGAAAACCAATATTGATCGATTTTGTGATACTGTAGTTGCCATATATAATAATTGTATTAACCTTAGAAACCTGCGGTTTTGCCTCTGTTGTATCATTTGTGATTATCTCCTTATTTTGAAGGTTTTTCATAGAATCTTGTTGTCTGTGTAAAATCAGCGCTAGTCGCTTAACCTTAAAACACAATAGACAAATTTGTAGTTCACGATGAGGTTACTAGCATCCCAACTCGATTGTACTCAAACGCCAATTTCAACATGATTCTTTGATATAACACAGATACAACAGTTACTTTTTATAGGAAAACGAAAAAGGTTAAAATAAAAAAATACATTAAAAATTCTCACAAGAATTCAGTATGAATGCATATATTCACACTACTAGTGAATACAAGTCTTTTATTATACTCGAAAAAAGGCCTGGATGAACTTTCAAACAGGGAAGAATTTTTTGGTTTCTTGTGCAAAAACTTATTCATAAAAGCACATGATTAATTAGAATTGCTATTGGATTGAGAATATTTCATAAAAAAAATTCCCATACCCGTGCCTGCAGACTAACTGCGAAATCATGCCATTTCCGAAAGTTACGATCTACTTCGTCAAATTTTCTTTGCAATTTTTGACATTCTACATCTTTAAAAACTAATTGTTCAACAAGTTCCACTTGTCTTGCCAACAATTTTTGTATTATCTAGATAAAATTAAAAACTTGATGGTAGCTGGTGACTCTTGCATGACTGTCATTTACCCAAAGAGCAACCAACTAGTACCTAGGTCTAATGCAATTGCCATAATATTGCATATTTTCTAGATTTTTGTTACAGTATATTCAAAAAATCCTAAACAATTTTATTGGCAAAACATTTCAAAAAAGAATTCATTCAACACGATTCCGATAATGAACTGAAAATTATCTAAGCGTTAGGACAGATTATATACAATATAATCAACGTGTAGTAGAATATTAGGAATCCTTTCTGCCTTTCCTTTGTAGAATAGTGGTTACCAACGAATAATATTTAAATAATAAACTTTTGAAAAGATAAATTTAGGAATCTCTCTGAATTCTCAAAAACATAATTATACAGTATAAAAAAGGGAGGATCAAATATTACTACATAACGCATGCTGGGAAATAATGTATAGAATATTTTCATAGATATGTGACCAATATTTTAACTAACCTCATTTACATTCTCTGGCACATCACAATTAAATTTGCCGAAACTGGTATTCAAATTTGCCTTCTGAAAACAAAAAAGAACTAAATGTTTAGAAAATTGGGTAGTATCAGTTACAGAACCATGAAATCATATATATATTCTTTTATACTTATAAAGAACAGTTCAAGTACCAAAGCAAAAATTAATGCAGTACCCGTTAAACAAAGTATTTAACCCGATTATGAAACATTTATGAGATTGAAGGTGATGAAGAGTAAGAATTATCCATGCAGTAAAAAAAGCCTATAAGACAAGGCAGGACAATTATTCAATCAGAAATCCCATCCCTCCAATATGTTGATGACCTAGAATCATACGGATATCCAAGAATGGATTCTATGTACATTCTTCTACAGGTACAGGAAGACAGAGCAATCATTTGGGGAAACCATATGCTTTCAGATGCATGGTGGTGGAGGTAGGCGATGAGCGATATGAACCACTGGCGACGCCGAAGATTCTGTAATCTTTTCCACATACTTTATCACCATAGGATTAGAATTTACAACTCATGTGTGGTAATCATCAGTACCCAAAGTGTGGTAATCATCAGTACCCAACTACATACCCAAAGTGATGTATACAATAAATGAAAGCGCACGGAGATCATAGCGGTACAACTTAATTGACTGAAGTAATATACTTGGCCTGATCAGGTTTACTCTACTATTTGATGAACTTATGCACTTTCACTTGATTTCATTCATTTGGGGCTATGATTATCAGTATAAATTTATCTGTTTATTACACTTGAATTATCACTCACTTATCTATGTATGTCAGTTAATGTAGAAATTATTAAAAATGTGACACTAAAATGTAATTATGTACAAATCATATAACGGAATTATTTTTAAACTCAATTGGAGTAATCAATGTAATTGAATGCAAAATCTTCATATTGTACGCACCCTGTGGTACTATGACAAAAGCCGTTTAGTTTGATTTATCGGACCTTTACAAATGAATTCTCAAGTACATTATGCCTTTTATATATGATTATCCTCACATTTCATAATTTAATTTTATAACGGTACCCATACTTAGGCAGTGTGCATCCGGCGCCAGCGGGTAACAATATCACGTTACTGATATGCAGTAATAAGCGCCCGCGTGTTTATCGTGATACCGCTACATTACAAGTAGGCTACTGTACAGAAGTAGGCGGCGTCTCATTCACGGACAAAGAAGCATTATGTTCGTTACGCCAGAATCTCGCAACATGCCTTGCTAGTCATTCATGGCAGCCCGAGGTCGCAAACGTTATCACAAATATCACTCGCATGCGATCATAACGAAAGTAATATCGATAGACTACCATGCTATTCGAAATATCATACCTTTTTGGGCCCACAATCCGACGGGCTGGACGGTCTTTTTTGCGTCAGTCTAGTATTAGCCAATTGCTTACTCATGATAATTCCGATGAGCGTTGCCTACAAAACGTTATAAAAATAACAAAAATCTCACAAAGCAGTAGGCTTTTCAACCTTAAAATCAACGAAATGACAAAAATAGTGATGATCTTCTCGCACGATTTCCCTCGTGAAATTGCTCACGAAAATCACTAAACGCGATCACCGTGATGTATGTTTGTCTCACATTTCGTGAACGAGAGATCACCGTGAATATTTCAACCAATCAAAACGCGTATGCCTCGAATAAGTCTGTGCGAACGAAAACAATGAGACCGTAACCGCGGCCCATAATCAATACGCAGACGAGACAGCGGCCTGTCGGCTACAATCCAGTTCCGTGATCGAGCGCTGTGATTCGGTCGATGTAAAGTTAGTGCTTGCTTGAATTTATTTATGCAGTTATAGTCTACAGCGCTAATTTGACGTCGGTGACGACTGCGAATATCATCAGTTTCTTATGAGCATGATCAAATACGTAAAGTCAAGGCTACACAGCTTGTTTACAGGTCACTGGAGTATGCGGCTTAGCTTCCTCGGCAGTTTGGAAATACAAGGTCGACAATCGACATCGCGTTCCGCCATTGTTTTTCATTATCGCGGAGAACACTACGTTTGTGCACGATACATGTAACCGAGAGTTGCTTTTCTATTACGATGCTACAATTCGTCGCCGCCGCTGGCATTTTGTTTAGTTTGTAGCAGAGTTTGGACCATACCGTCCTGTTACGATGACGGGTAAACGTTCATGCAGAGTCTTGGACAGCACGATTAGGATATCGTTGACCGCATATCATTGATTTCTGCAAACAACTATCGCACACGATGAAAAACAGGAACATCACCAAGCGTTTGTCGCACGAAATCCCGAATAGGACTGAAGCCAGGTTTTGACTGTCGATAATTTTGCAAGTCACGATTTGTCTGTCTCCACATTATTAACTTCGTTGGCGTATAAATCCGAGCTCTCGGCTATATAAAGTCCCGAGTTAAAAAATAAATAAATGAACGTTTACCAATAGCTTCGAGTATGTCTTTAATGGGTATATACGGTAGTGGGATTCAGCCGGTTCTATAGAACCGTCTCACGGAATTTTATGAGTTCAGCGAACCGGTTAGCATTACTGGTTACTGTCAATGTTTTTTTGCATCTGATCTGACACTGGTTACTGTCAATGTTTTTTTTGCATCTGATCTGACTCGCCGATCTTTGAGAACCGGCAGAAAAATATGACTTTTGTGATGGAACCGGCTGACAAAAAATTTGAATCCTACCACTGGGTATATATATATAGCCAACTATATTGAAATGTTCGGTATATATGAACAGAGTTCCACTTATTAAAATAATGTCTTCAAATATGGATATTTCCCCGCCCATTGACTCCAGAAAAATTCGTCAAGTACATTGTGAAATTTGTGTTTGTTTTTACAAATATGAATTTTTACAAACTGGTCCACATGCTTATATAGCCAGTCTGATTTTAAATATTTACAGATGACTAATTTCAGTCCAATCTATGTCATCTTTTCGGAGTCAATTTTTTATTATTGCAACCCAACTCAAACGCCTTTAGAAGATAAAAGGAACATTGAGTTTTATGTCTAAATTTCGTAAACGACTTAAATTGACAAATTGCACCCAGAACAACGAAAACGATCTGATGTTCACCATAATGCCTGAAATTTTTTTCGACTAATGAAAAGTGTCTGGGTGGCTTCCAAAATTTCAATTGTGACGTCACGCTTGACGTCTTGCTGGTGGCCAATACCACTGAATGACTGAAATGATCAAGGAAGATGATGATGTGGGGTGAAACATCCATTACGTTGGTACTACACCAATTTATAAAAAGGTTGTGTCACTTGGTTTGTCGCTAACATTTTGAAACACATGCGGCTAGTTTAACTTATCTTGTGCCATGCGTAATGAACCGTGGTCTGAATGTATGGCCAGCCAGGTCTCTCGTTCAAGCTTATACGGCAGTGATTTTTAAACCGCGTCGCGGCGTCGATTGTAGTACGACTCGCCGGTCGTGCTTGAAGCAATATGTGACACTCAAATTTTTCAACGTTTTGTAACTTTGTGCACGAAATGTACTCATGGGCAGAGCGCTGTTGTCATCCCGTCCAGCCACGGCGGCGTTCTGAACACTGAAATATATGCGGGAATATTTTATCAAGTATCGGATGTATCAAAGCGGTAAACCACGCACGTGGTGCAGCAAATACATTCAATTGGCACACCCACAGAATGCAAAGATTGATCGTAATTCCTGATCCGATTCAAAAAGCTGCGTATAGGATGTGGTCGCAGTAGTAAACTTTTTCTTCATTTGTCAAATTACTGTATCGTATTGAATTGTAACACGCTACTGCGTTTTGCGGTCCATTAATACCACCTGTGGATCTGATAATAGCACATGCTTATCGCTTCAACAACACATGTTTAGAAGTTATTTATTTCAACTCGTATTAATAAATTGTCACCAACTTGCTTGCAAACACTCCACTATTCACTGTCAAACCGTGACGTGGCGTGCTCATTGTGCACGTGTGGTATTAAGTGTAAAAAGCCGTACCAAAGTTTTTTGTTTGCTGATTTGCAAGGGGTCCCAAAAATAGGCATGAACGATGGAATGGCGGTTTTTAAATAATGTCCTCCCATCCCCATTTTGATAATGTTTTAAATTTGTATTTCAGGTATCAGACAGTACCGTGTTGATGCGTTACTGGTAGGAATAATCCTGTTTTTGTTCTGGTCGTGAATGGTAATGTCGGCGATGTAATGCATCATAGTGTTAACAGCAATGTTTCAGAGACGTCGGAGTGACCTAAGACTGGGTGGTTGGCGCTTCGTAGAAAGACATCGTTTTCGTCCAAAAAAAAAAAAGATTAGCGGATGTTTTTATTCCGTAATGTTTTTTTCGAGACAAACTATAATTTCCAGTTTAATTAAACGATTGTTTGATTCTCAATTGACTTCGTAATCACACACATATTTGAAGCAATCACGAAAAAGAGGTAGTGATTTGATTTAGTATGTTATTCGGCTGTTTTATTACGTTAAGGACTAAATATTTTCAAGCTTAGGTTGTCCTTTCTATGCACACTACAAGAGGTGGACGCATACGAAGCGGGACTACCTTTATCATCCATTTTATCGGTTTTTTATTTTTCCGTTTTCCCTTTTTCTCCACGTGCGATACGCACTTTAGCCGACTAGATACATTTTCAAAAATTTTTGGATTGTCTGCAAAAATGGCTCTTCATTGCAACAGTGCGCTTGTAGCAAGTTCACACTCGTTGTACTGCATCCAGAATATACTGTATGCACCCACTTATATCAGTACCCCATACTGATTGCACCCGCGAACAGTTGCACCCTTAGTCAATTTCACTCATAAATGGTTGTCAAAATTCCATTTTTCATGTTAACAAGAGAGCAGTGCTTATTTATATGAAAACGAAGGCCAAAACAAATCTTTAACATTACCGGCAGCCTACCTCCAGCTTGACAAAAAACTTCCGTCTTCCAGTACATTACCATTACTTGCGTTACAGCACTTACCTAGTCTACAGTGCGCTACCGGTATCAAATAAACTCCGACTCTGCGTAGCACGAGTTTGCAAAATCAAAACAGAAGACAGCCATCACGCTGTCACACGTGTTCTCGTGAATAGAAAATAAAACCGCGGAATTTCGGATGAAATATCATTAAGGAATATATAAATAAAATTATTAGCCTTCTAGCGACAACAACAATCTTTAGCCACTGAACATTTTGAGAGCAAATGACCCATTAATTAAAGAGACGAGCGACTTTTTCATAACAACAAGAAAAATAATTCTGACAACACAACAATATGAAAATCAAAACGATGTACGAGTTCACTTCCTTGTACAATTATTATATATACAGATAGGTTAGTTTGGGGGCACTGTAAGCCAAGGCTGCCCAACCCGCGGGCCGCATGCGGCCCGCCGAACTGTTTTTTGCGGCCCACCCTATAAAGTTTGTAAGAAGACTATTTAAATTTTCACTATGTTATATATCAATATATAGGCTTAAGTATGTTTGGTGATTTTTTGGTGTGATTATTCCTGCCATCTATCCACATTCAATAGACCTTATTCATTAAAAACCCATCCTACGCGCAAAAAATAAAAGTGATGTGAAAAGTTTTTTTTTAACATTAGCTCTCATGGGAAATGTGATCACCAGAGCAGAAATTTGCATTTTTTGTAATTTTCTAGATATCTTTCATTGTATACGTGAGCAGTTTTGAGGATAGAATATTTTTTTACATCTTTTTTGATATTTTTATCATGATAAACATGGTCAAGATTTTTGATAATCGTTCATTAAAATTTTATTGAGCGCGGTGTTTCCGATGACGTCATTCTCACTAGACCATGAGATTCTGCCAACGCGCCGTGCTCTGTGGGATATGCGATGCAAATGCGGCCCTAATGTCGCTTTGGGTGCGTGTCCGTCCGGTACTGGAAGTGTTTAACATTGACAATCTATAACCCGTACCATTTCTATCACGTTTGTTTACTGTTTTTACGCATTTATACCTGTACAGCTAGCAATCATTTACTGAAGGCATGCTGACGTGTTATTTAAACTACCGGTACCGTACCAAGGCTGCAAGAGGTGGAAACTAAATTATTTAATAAGTACTGAAATAGGCCTACGAACAAAAATGTTGGCCATCTTGCCAATAGGCAGGACAAGTTGTACGGTACCGGTATACAAAAAAGATGAATATCTCCAACCTATAATGGTACAATACCGGTCTCGTAACTAGGTTAAAAAACATGACTGAATACGAGAGGGAGATTTATTTTGTCAATCAGAATACAAGCATTGAATCAATAAAAATCATATACAAAACACACAGTTATTCGGTATAGACTGGGGAGCGATACGACCATCACAGTCAGATATCAAGATTAACAGTTATTTAAGATGTTTTAGCAAAAACTCCTCGGGGGAAGGGTTGACTAAGTTACGGAATATTTTTGGATTCGGTTAAAAATGTAGTTCATTATTAAACACTGCTTTTTTTGTAGATTTTTACTTAGTGGACACTTAGCAAGTACGACAGTTAATTTATAAAAAAATTGTAAATTAATAACAAATCAGTAGAAGTCAGCTCGGGTATTCAAACATGTGATGATTGAGGTGACAAAAAGATTTGAAGTCACGTTTAGGATATTACATTCAACAACAATGGAAAAGGTACATTGGAATCAGTCAAGCTTCAAATGCTAATGGCATTAATGAAAAGAATATGCGAAATGAAGACTGAAGTTTCCATCTGAGACATTGGAAGACGCTAAAACCTTATAGACTTGATAGTGTGGAAAGCCTTCTCACAATGCAGTAATAATGAGACATATATTTATAATATCATTATACAGGCTTTAAGTTGAACTATATGTTTAATTAAAATATCTATCTTTGCTAATAAATGCTGAAAACCATTTATTTCAATCTGCTGAGTGATTAGGGCCAGAAATTTGCTGTAGGGACCATCACCAGGGCTGGATTTACCAATAGGCTAGGCAGGCTGAAACCTAGAGCCTCGAAATTCGGTTTAAAAGTTTGTAATTCTTTTGAAAACTTGACATGTTTAAACCCTACAAAAAGTATATATATATATCAAGCTTTTCAGAGTAGAAAATTCTGTACACAACTAGTTTCAACCACATTGTAAACAGTCATTATTGCGTCGTTTGCATCATAATAAGGGAAATTATAAATTTGCGCATTCTGCTGGAAGTTTCTATGTTAAAGTATGGCTGTAGCGGTTATTTGATCAAAGAAATTATCATTCTTTTAATCAAAAATTCACACCCATGAATGGGGAGAATGAAAAGTTTAATGCTTTCATATTTTCAAATTTTGAGCAATTAAATGTGGTGTTATTGAGAGAGAAGTTCTGAGCTCAGAAATATGAAGGGGCCTCTCATGGTCTAAATCCAGCCCTGAACATCACCAATTTTGGGATAGGTACCGTACATGGTAGGTACCGTCAACATATGAATTGAGTTAGGCCATTGGGTTTTGAAAGGTGTATCAGAAATGTACATGGAATTCATGAAATATATAACATCCAATTAAAACCAAAATAGGTCTTTCGTTGAACGCCAGTTGTGGTCCCGGCACCGGTATTCCAGTATTCTGTTATCACAAGCAGTTGGAGCACATATCCCACAGAGCACGGCGCGTTGGCAGAATCTCATGGTCTAGTGAGAATGACGTCATCGAAAACACCGCGCTCATTAAAATTTCAATGAACGATTATTAAAAATCTTGACCATGTTTATCATAATAAAAATATCAAAAAAGATGTAAAAAATATTCTATCCTCAAAACTGCTCACGTATACAATGAAAGATATCTAGAAAATGACATAAAATGCGAATTTCTGCTCTGGTGATCACATTCCCCATAAGAGCTAATGTTAAAAAAAAAAATTTTTACATCACTTTTCTTTTTGCGCGTAGGATGGGTTTTTAATGAATAAGGTCTATTGCCGGTTCTTATTAATACGTATGTGTCAAGTCTTGCACCCTGGTGGACATCGACGTCAGTTTTTAGTTTATTTCTGAAATTAATTTTTGGATATTGTGCGATCATTGGGTACAAACGCTGAGCGCAATTATAGGAATGAATTTGGAGCCTAAATTTGCAAATTAATTTCATTCTGATTGCTTTCTTTCGTCTCGACTTCGATCGCCAACGTGTCAAAAAAGTCAACAATATCTTTAGTTGATCTTTGATCCCGGGACTCGTTGTCCTTTTATTTTTAATTTTATACTTATTTTTATTATTTATGTTATGTTTGTGTTAAATGAGATTTCGGAAATGTCGTAACTGCGTATCCGTCAATAATTTTGATGAAATTGACCTAATGGCATCGCTAAATATTAGTACTTATTAAATAGTTGTATTGGTGTTTCGAAACGGCCCACTTAAACTTGATATTCCCGCGACATTGGAGCACATTATGCTAATTTACACCTTGAGATAGTATCATAGCTATACTCAAAGTAAATGGATGAAAACATTACAACCCAAATATAACACTCAATTTTGACGCGATGTATGTGTTCTCGAGTGATCGTCAAAAAACGCAATTGTGTTGTGTTATACAACTTGTGTAATGATTGATTCTTTGATTCGGTGGCCCGCGAGTGTCATGTCCACGCCCCGTGGTACCAGATATATTCAAATAGTAAACTGCTATTCTAATATTCGACTTGATATTCGAACAATTCGCCAACCTTAGCCAGTAACCAGAAAGCAATTATTAACTTGATTGATTTCATGTTAATGAACTTGCCTTTTATGTATTAGGGCTATTCCAAGTGACACTACAGGACATGTTGTTAAATTCAATATATTTTCAGCTACATGTTTTGTTTCATTGTCCAATCAGTTGCTTTATTGAATATGTAAAAAGTTGCACAAAAGTTACACCCAACCTTACTTAGTAGATACAAAAAATTAAGGAAAAAAAAGCGTGACACTACAGGACGGCAAATCCACCATGCACTAACAGTACGTTGTGTTGTGCTGTAAATTTTTGCGATGGTACAGTAGGAGCCCATAACATTTTCTGGTGCAGTAGCTGAACTACCCCTCTATGTGTTGCTCAGTTACTTAATGTAACACTGAAAATCCATGCCAATAATGTGCATATTGTATGTGACACTACAGGACATTTTCCCACTCCGGAATAGCGGCCTCTATCATCTCTTAAAATTCTGGTATTAAATCGGTAAATGGGTGAAGAAATGTCCTACAGCACTGCAAACATTTAAACTTTATTAACTTAAATTCAGTGCGTCAATTCCATATGAAATAACTGTACCACACAATCACACAGTTTGTGTCAGGAATCATCACGAAATATGTCAAATATACCAAAATTTCTACATTTCAGGCCATTTTTTATAAAC